GGTTATTTTGGGTTATAATATTTCAGAGCTTACTGAAAACCAGGTATACCAGGCAGCAGAAGCAAATCACTATTCTTAAACTGGTAACTCTGCAATTGCAGACGACTGCAAACTGCAAAATCACAACAAACACTATTTGAGCCTGTAAAACCTGAATACTTCCCTGAATTTCTATAAGAAATCATTAAGAAGAAAATGAATTTATATGCATTAATTACTTTTGGAAAAATTATTTACGGTTCATATACTGGTTTTTCTTCCCTGGACCAAAAATATTATGGTTCCGGGGGACAGGCCCAGGATATTCGGTTCCGGGGATGAAATTTATTGTTAAAGATTTAAGTTTTCAAGAGTATCTGTTGTTATACTAATTTGTTTCTTTTAAATCTTTTCCCTTATAAAAAGATTTACTTGTATATTTTTCATGGATATGTTCTTAATAAAAATTAAAAATAAATGTATTTTTTAATTATAATGAAAAACAAAATATCATATTAATAAATTTTACAATAATTAATTGAAGAATGAAGTAAAAAAGAGAAATATGTTTGTTAGTTGAATCTTTAACAAATTTGAGCAAAAGCACAATAAAATTAAATTGTTTAATAAACTTGAATAAGAGAAAACAAAAACAACATATTTTTAAAGTTGGAATAAGAATGTCTTATTTTTATTGAAATAATGTAATTTTGAGGTGTATTTCTCTTAATTTTTTAGAGATCATATTGATAAAAACTAATATTTTAAAAAATTACTAAAATTTTTTTTTTTTAAAATGAACTCTAACTTAAATTGATTTAACAAAAAAAATTATAAATTTAATTATAAAAGTAAAAAATGTATCTCGCTCCATGTCAAAAGGAAAACACTTTAAATTTTTACATAAAATATTAAGAAAAAGATAAAAAAAGATATTACAAAAAGTTGTAAATTTAAAATTATTTAAATAGATAATTAAAGTTTTTTTGGCTTAATAGATGAAAAAATATTTAAGAACCTCAATTATTAATTAATTAATTGACTTAAATTCATTTTACTTAAATTATATCCTTATTTTTTGAAAAATTTTTATTTAGATCTTAAATCTTTTCTCTATATTTGAAATGATCCTTGAAATTCATACTATAAATTATAAAAACAAAATTTTTAACAAACAGAAGTTAAAGTACTATATTAAATGTTTTTCAAAAGCTGGCCCCTTGTCCTTCATTGGCTTCGTCCTTGTATGGTCCCCCTCACTGAGTTGAAAATGACCTTTGGTTTTTGTTTTTTGGTTATATCCCCGATTCAGTCCCTCAACTTTTATTTTTGAACTAAAACTACCCTTAAACTTCAAAAAGTACTAAAAAAATCCTTGAACTTCAATTTTTAGGACCAATTTTGTCCTTCCGTCAGTTAAGTGCTGACATGGCAACATTTCCCGTTAACAAATTCAATTTTTATTAATATTAAATATTA